TTATTTAATCAAATTCATAATTTTTAAAATTGAGGTTAAAAAATATCAACTATTATTTTAATAAAAAAATAAAACTATATATATTCTTAATATGCAAGATCTATATGAAGTATTATAAAAAAAGAAAAATATTTAACAATTCTCTCTCTTTTTTTTAATCAATCTTTACCAATTCTTTCTTTTATAATTGCTTAATTTGCAAAATTTTATTTTATGGTTATTTTTCTTCTCCCTTCTCTCATTTCCAATTTCTTATCATTTTTGTCCATTCTTATTTTATTCTTTTAACTTGTATTACAAACTATTTTAATATGTTAATATAAGTGCTCAAATTAAAGTTAAAAAAGAAAGATATTTGAATGAGATTTTAGTGCAATTGATTGCATATTCCCAAATACATATGATAGTAATATTGGATATATATACAGTTTAGAACGAATGTGGAGTAGAATTTATATTTAAAAATATCAAAAAGTTTATAATAGTATAATATAAATAAAATAAAAAAACATAATATCTTGCAAAAAAAATGCAATATTTTCATATATATTGATCTTTATCAAATTCCTACTTTTGTTATTCAGTTCATTGTATGGATTAATACAATTATTGCTCTTAAGAACTCCAATCCATGAATAAAGTTTTGTCCTTGCCACACATCAAAATAAAAATAAAAAAAATCAAACCATTAATAATCTAAAAAGAAAAGAATGCATAAATTTCAAATAAATAACGTTACAAAATTGTTTCAAAAGAACAATTATCATATCTTCTATAAAAAAATTCATGAACAAAAAATAAGACTAATAAGAAAAATAATTTATACAATAATATACATATTTTAGACTAAGATGAAAAAAGATATAAATAAAAACATAATATTATATTTAGATACAATATGAAATAAGAAACAAAAAGAAAAATATTATTTGGAACTCATCATATTAATAAAAAGAAATTGGAGAAATGAAGAGGAAAAATGTAATATACTAGTGTACCCATTTTTACACCCAAATTGGTTTAAACAGTAAAATTACAAATTTACCCTTCCCACTAAATCTATTTCCCACGGAACAAATCCCAACAAAACTCAAGCATTCAAGCACATTCAACAACCAAATCCCAGCAAAATTCAAGCATTAAAGCACATTCAACAACCAAATCCCAGGAAAACTCAAGCATTTCACCAAATCCATCCATC